TACCGGCTGCCATCTTGGCTGACAGTTAATTTGCATTAGGATATGCTGATTAGCCAATGGGAAGGGTAGCGGTCGTACGCTAATTACCATGTTTCTCTTTTATTAGTGTAGATGTGCTTATAGGGATAAATAACCTTGTTACAGTGACAATAGACAAAAAATGTGACTTGCCTACTATTGAAGAAATTCGATCCAGAGAAGAGTGACTAACACTAAAGTCTGAAAAAATGTTATTTATTTTGTAAAAGAGCAGCTTACTCTATAGGCAAGTACATGGATAAGCTATTCTTTACTGTGTGTCCAGAGACAGGAGCCACAGAAGACAGTCCAGGTGGATCTGCAGTCTGAGCAGTGAGGATAATTGCTAACCTTAAGTTGAACTGCAGGGATGTAGTGAAGTCTTTCCTGATGCTAAAGTTAAGGATGCAGCTGTCTGCAATCATTCAGTAGCTGAGCTCCGTGCTAGGTAGCATCTTGTGAAGGTGTTCAATTTTTAACAAACTTAAAGTGTTTTAGTTACCTACTGCCTATAATGAATGCCCACAAACCTAGCAGCTTCAGACAACACACATTCATTACCATAGTTCCTGTTGTCATGAGCTCATTTTTTTTTTTTTTTAAGGGTTGTCATCTGCAGTCTTAAGGAAGCCTTTGCTTCCTTGCAGGCATTTGTCGTGAGCATTCAGTTCTGTACCAAGGACCTAGAGCATGAGACCCAGGCAGAATCAGAACACAGGCACTCTGGCCAGGCTCATGTCAGGTGGAGCAGGCTGGACTCGGAAGATGAACAGCAGGAGCACCTGTCAGTGCCACTGAGAACTGTGGTACAGCAGTTGGGCCTCAGTCCTAGCTTTATTTCTTCTTAATATAGGCAGAATAGTGGCTGCTGCCTGTGATGGTTGAGAATCCCCAGCTAAAGTTCCTAGAACTGTTGCTGTGAGTCTTCCCTACATCCTTTCAACAGCCTTAGAAAGGTGTGGATAAGATGACTCTTCAGATTATGTCCAAGTTAACAGTAAGGGAAAACCCTGAGAATCTTTCTCTTTTAAAATGCTTTCTTGATGCTTCAGAGGAAGAAAGTCAGTGATATCCCTTATTTACTGCTTACAAAAATCATTATTATTACAGTTTAGTAATATTAAAATATTTATTTCTTATCTTGTTATATTAGTAGCTTTATATCTTAGCCCACAGAACCATTTAATAAATCTTGTTTTCAGAAATATAAAATCAAGTTTTAACCAATAACTCAATTGTTTCTGGTTTTATAGGTTTATAAAAACATGGACTGATATTTTCAGTATTATTTGCAAGAAAATTATCAGTGGGATGAAATAATTGAAGTATAACAGAAGATATATTTTTTCAAAAAAGGAAGCCTTCGTACAGATTCCTGGATCCACAGAAGCGCTACTGCAGAGCAGGAAGATGCCTTAATCTTAAGTCCAGCATTGACTTAAAGCTGCAAAAGTGACTTGATTTTACTTTGCAAATAACACTTATTGTTATGAAATGCTATAATATGTCGGATCACATGTTAACATGGCATATGTATTTTTTTTTGATACCTGAGTTACATTATCAGAGTTGTTTCTTGGTGTCTATATGAATTTTCACTCCAGAAACAGAAGCTAACAAATTCTCTTAAGTAAAGAACATCTAGGACAGTATGGTGGCTGAAACTGAATAATAATATCCAAATTACTGTTGCTTGTACTATGTAGGGAAAAGGAAATGACTGCTTTCTAAAAATTGGGTGTTTGATCATTTATAAATACTGTTTTATACTTTTCAACATTTTTAATAAAGATTTTTTATTGTTGGCTATACAGTAACACTCAGAAGGATTAAGATATCTAAATATAATGATTTACAATATGGAGCACATTTGTATAATTCATTGAAGGTTTAGTTCTAAGCATTAATACAACAATGTTGTATAGTGTTGTGCCCAAGGCTTAAAGGAAACTTGGCAGTATAAAAAAGATTTTTGTTTCTCTCTGATTTATAATTACTTTAAAAAAATTTTATTAGTATACATACAGGAGAACACAAAGGCACTCAGAAATATTGGACAAAGGCAGGCCCCACAACCCAGGCCCTGACCAGGAATCAAACTGTGACCTCCTGATTCATAGGTTGACACTCAACCACTGAGCCACACCAGTCAGGCAACCTGAGTAGTCATTTAAAACTTCCAGTCTCTGAAAGATGGATTCCACTCATAAATCCAAAATACTAAATCTGACTGAACAGCAACATCTTTCTACCTAGACACATACCCTCTTTTCCTTTTGAAATCCAGTCTAAGGGACAAGAAATGTTGCATCTATACAATATATATAAAACCCTAAGTGACCAGTCGCTACGACTCACACTGACCACCAGGGGGCAGACACTCAGTGCAGGAGCTGCCCCCTGGTGGTCAGTGTGCTCTCACAGCGGGAGTGCCGCTCACCTGACTGACAGGCATCAGACGCCAGGCTCACGGCAGGTGCAGTGGGGCCAGGATGAGTGGGAGCAGCGTGGTCCCTGGCCCAGATCGGGCTCCTCCCAGGCCGCTTTGCGCACTACTACATCCCTCAGGGGATGTCAGACTGACGGGTTCAGCCCAAAACCAGCAGTCCGACATCCCCCGAGGGGTCCCGGATTGCCAGCGGGCACAGGCCACGTTGAGGGACCCCTCCACCTCTAGTTAATTATAAATAAAAATTCAATATCTTACAAAGGAGAAACAATGTAAAAATGTCAATCCTTATTTATACTAGTCAGTCAAATATACACACACAAACCAAAATAATTGATTGCTTCCAGTAGTGGATAGAGATAAATGTTTTTTTAAAATATATTTTTATTGATTTTAGAGGGAGAAAGAGATAGAAACATCAGTGATGAGAGAGAATTATTGGTTGGCTGCCTCCTGCACCCCACACTGGGGATGGAGCCCACAACCCGGGCATGTGCCCTGAACGAAAATCAAACTGTGACCTCCTAGTTCATAGGTTGACGCTCCATCACTGAGCCACGCCAGCAGAGCTAAATGTTAACCAGAATCTATAATTATCTAGGATTATAGTTTTCTTATCTGTAACATAGGATTGAGAGGACGGGGTGATACCAATGACTTGGACTGGATGACCTCTAACATTCTTTGATTTCTGATTTTGCAAAATCACCTTACTTTTCATTCATCCAACAAATACTTCTGGAGTACCTTCTATACATCAAACAGTATACTAGGGATAGCTCTATACTTTCCTAATGTCATATACATTTTATTTTTTTCCACATAAGTTTTATAATAAACTATTCCAGGTTTACAATTTATAGGATTTGCCTAATTCCATTGACTAAATAGTAATATTGAATTTTAAAAGGAAGTTTCCACTTTGAACTGAAGGAATATGGTAGCTTTAAAAATATAATATGGATTCTTCCACTTTTTTTCACCTCTGTAGTCTTGATAATCTTTATTCTAAAAAACTTTTAAGTATGAGAGTTAAATGAGTGATACCAGTTACCAACCAAAATCATTATTTTGGCAGTTTCCATATGATAAAGAAATAGTCAATGTTTTAAACTTAATACTTTCAGAAATGATCTGGCACTGTTCATGAGTATTTCTACATCTAGATCAGGATTGCATGCACCTGATTAACAAGTGAGGAAACAATTTACCCCCTTAGTGTATTCAGGCACTTTTGTGGTGGTGTAATCTTTTAAGTTCTGTTATTCAATATCATCTTTAATAGTGTAGTAAACACCTTTTCAGAAATTTTCAATGAAAGCCTTTTAATTACCTTTGGTTTAATTAATGGCCAACATTTTACCACATTCTGAATAATATTTGGCTGAGTTTATTCATACACATTCACTACTCTTCAGTAAGGGCCTACTGGTATAGTGTGGGAATCAGGGACCAGCTGCCTCTTTGGTATTTCAACTGGTATTGGTTAGTGCTGTCACTCTTTGGGGAGAAAGGTCAAAATGAAGCCCTGTGAAAATTTATTAGTACTGTCTCTGGTCCTTCAAACACTTGAACAAATGTGATGACATTTAAGGATATTAAGTTGAATTTCAGGTATTGCCATTGCCATTAAAAAAAAAAAGTACACAGGAGACTTGATTTTACCTGGTACAAACTTACATTCAGTCCCTGAGGTATCTGACCAGTATCACTTTGCCAAACCAAAGAGTAGCTGCAGCAGAGTAGTTATTAATCAGGGACACGTTTACAGAGTTTAGTTTCATCTTTACATATGGCTGATTTTTAAAATATTTTTACATATTTAATGGTTCTGATTCAATGTGTCATAAGTTAATTTGACTAAGATTAGTTTAAATCAGATAGGCAATGTTTATTTGAATTTTATTTCCAATAGAATACAGATTTTTACTTTGTTTACAGAGTGTTTAAATTCAAGATTATCAGACATGTCAGATTTCCATTCAGTAAACTTTAAAGCAATAAATGTATATTAAGGGCTTGGTGTATATTAAGGGATTTGCATAGCTTATGTTTTGTTCTAGGAATAGCATTGTTATCAATGGAAAATACTTTTAATCTGTTACTACGAAATTAAGTATATTTTTGCATTTCAGCCAAAATAAAGATCAGATGTAATAATAATATGTAAGATACCGGTAATAATAAGTCAACAGGGGTTTCATATAATTAGAACTATGTTTTACAATTTAAATTTAAAATGCAATATAGATTCAGAAAGGTCCATATTTTTCTAACAAGTTCACTTTGTATTATTTTGTTGGTTTACATAAGGAAGCAAGGATTTGTATTTATATTAAAAGCTTGAGAAAGCTATTAGTCAAGTTTATTGTATTTGTACATGATTGCAGATGAGTGATGCCCATTTAAAAGAAAAGATGGACATTATTTTAAAGTGATCTTTAATGTTTTTATTTAAACAGATTTGAAATACAGTTTATTTTGGTTGTCTTTACTTACCGAGTCCCTCCCATAAGTCTTGTATTTGTTTTTCATAAATATAACCCTGGACCATGACTTAATGTTAATTTTTTGCTTTGTCTTTTGGATAGCCTAACTACATTAACATGAAGGCTGAACATTTTAAACTTTTTTCAAAAATCATAACTTACTTTTTTATATAAAAATAAAGTTCTGTGTTTGAACAGTTTGTTGTTGTTATAAAGTGGTATTTGCCAAATGAAAGAATAACTATTATTTTGGTCATAAATCTGGTCAAATATTGTTTAGTTAGAGAAAGAAATTTGGCTAATAATTTGGAGTAACTACATCTAAGACATTTAATATTTGAATGTAACAATATTATAGTTTACCTAAGCCAGAGGTATAGATTGCTTTATTCAAAAAGTTTTTAACTTAGTTTTTACTGAACATAATTTTCAATTCAGAAGTAACTTTTGGATCATAAGTACTTGCGAAACACTAGAAGTTGTTGAATTGTGGTTTTCAAAATGCTGAATAATAAATTTTATTTTATGTAGAATTCTTTTGTGGCATATGTGTTCCAATTCCCCTCCAACGGGACAGGTTAATAAGTTGAGGCTGCTGAATGAAGCAAGAAGGATCTGAGACAGAGCTGATTCCCAGGAACTGGCAGAAGCTGTAACCGGACAACCAAGGGGTCTGGTCACTACTTGAGCCAATTAAGCAGAGATAGGGTTGAATTGTTAAAGAATTTACCAGGCGACCGAAAAATACGCATGAGTACGAGAGGCACAGGAAAAACCCATTTATTTTCAGATGTTTCTCATGTACTAGTACAGGCCTCCGGGGAGGCTGTTTCTCTCCAAATCCTGAGCAAACCAATATGGAGGAAGCTTTCCCTTTATACCCTTTGGTTTCTTTGTCCCCCAAATATGGATCATACTTCTGGACCTTTCGCAGGCTTTGCAAAAAGCCCCATGTGCTGGGATGGGGGCAGTGAGACCACATCTCAAGGCCTGGCCTGGCGCCAGCACTGATAACTCCATCTGGGGGTTGTGTATTGTTCATGGTTTATGGCCTCTAAAATGGGAATAGTACTTTAGGTAAACAGGTCTTGCAGGACCAGATAATTAAAGAAGGGGCAGTGACTAGACCAGTGATGGCGAACCTTTTGAGCTCGGCGTGTCAGCATTTTGAAAAACCCTAACTTAACTCTGGTGCCATGTCACATATAGAAATTTTTTGATATTTGCAACCATAGTAAAACAAAGACTTATATTTTTGATATTTATTTTATATATTTAAATGCCATTTAACAAAGAAAAATCAACCAAAAAAAATGAGTTCACGTGTCACCTCTGACACGCGTGTCATAGGTTCGCCATCACTGGATTAGACTATAGGCTAACAAGAATGTGCATTAGGTTACTGGCACAGATTCAGATTGCTAGCCCCCCTAAAATGTCTCATTTTCCCCATCAGAATCATATATGAATATTTATTCCATTAATGCTGGCAATATGGGAGAACAGGTCATCCACAAAAATCTGCTCTGCCTCTCCCCATAAGCCAGCTGCTTATATTGGGTAGAAGGACAAAGATTATGTGAGAAAGTAAGAATTATAGGCATAGGAAAGTAGGCACAGTATAATTACAGGTTACTGGTAATGTGGGCTGTGTGGGGGTTGCAGAGGGTGGGTGCCTTTGGGCACCTCTGAGATTACAGGCAATAGGGGCTGGGGATTGCGAAGGGCAGATGCCTCCAGGACTAGATTGTTTCAGCCACAAGGTTGTAAATCTTTCCATAATGATAGGCAGTTCTCGGGAAAGGAGGATGGACTGCATTCTGATGTTAGCTCCCATGTCCCCAGGCATATAAGTCTCAGCCAGGTTAGAATGCACTTTCTCTAATTAGAACAGAACAATCACAGTTAGCAGAGCATTAATAATATTTTTTTATAATTGTAGCTAGTCCCTAATATTCTATTTCTGCCCCTAACAAGGCCAGTAGATATGAAGCAACCTTTGGGAAGAGGTATGCTAATTCAGCCCTGTTTGGAGTAGG